CGTGAGTTTAAGCCACCGGGTCCGGGACTCGAACCGCGGTCGACTACGTGGGAGTCCAGTGACATAGCCATTACGCTAACTGCTGGTCCAAGATTTTCCTTTTTTTAAGAGAGATTTTTGCTATAGGGTGTGTGCGTTCACCAGAGAGACAGAGGCGAGAAGTCACCCCCCAGAGGGGAATGGCCACACTGCAGTCCCTTCTCCTCCATTCTCCTCTTGGGATTTTGAGCATGCAAGCACATGTGCTAGGTCCAGGACTCAAACCATAGTTAACTACATGGGAGCCCAGCAATGTAACTATTATGCCATCTGCTGGTCCCCAAAATATTTTCCTTTTAAGATTTTGTTGAGAATTAAAATACGTATCAGCAAAATAGCTGGTAAATGCAGATATTCAGTTAAGTGTTACAAATCCTGTGGCCTGATGGTCAAGGAACCTGGATCCCATATGGATAACCATGTGGTTCAAGTCTGAGACCCAGTGGCTTGAGAATTACATGTAAGATGTGTGTGTGTGTCTGAACTCTGATAGGATAGAGGAATGGAGGAGAAGGGATTGCAGCATAACCATATCCCATTGAGAGAAGGGGGTGCTTTCTCCCTCTTCCTCTCTCTGCCTGTCTCTGTCAGTGTACATGCCCTGGCAAATTAAAAAGTAAATGTAAAAAAAGTAAATGTTCATTTTCTTCCTAGACAAGCTTATATAAATTGTGTGTGCTCAGTAACTGAAATTCACTCCAAGTATAAGGCATATTCTTAGAACAGTCTGCTTAATTAGCCATCTGTGGACTATATGACATATCTTTATTTAAAGTTAGCATCTCCTTTCCACCTCTGTCAGTGTGGTCACAAAATATGAACTTGTCTGACAGCTGTGAAATACTGGGCTTCCATTCCACCGTAAACAGAATAGGGTAGCAAATGAAACTGCTAAGTAACTATTAAAATTTCATTAATAAATACTCTCGTATTTAATACATGCCTACATTATCTGTTTCAGAGCAGAAGCTCAAAATGGAGTGGGCCAGCACATTCATTGCTACGTTGCAGCTCTTGCTGCTCATACAACTTTTCTGGAACAACCTAAGAGCTTTCGCCCTTCCCAGCGGATAAAAGAACATAGTGAAAGACAGTCTCTGAACAGAAATAGCCTTCGTCGCCAAAATCTTACCAGGGATTGCCACTCTCGGCAAGTCAAGCACAATGGCTGGGTTGTTCATCAGCCCTGCCCGCGTCAGTACAATTACTAAAAATTTCAAGTTTTGTTGGTTGGTTTCTCTTGGTTTGTGCATATGTGTGAGGAGGTGTGCGTATGTACAATGAAAATGCTGTCTCTTTACAGCCAATTGAAGACCAATCACATAGTTATAGCAGTGTGTTCAGACACTATTTTGAAAACAAGATTTTTATGCTGTGTATCACATAATGCCTTGCTCTTAACATTTACTTTTTTGTAAAAATTTTCAGAATACTTTTGGAAACATATCAATACAGTTACAGTGTTTAATGTTTGGGGATGTCTTTAAGTCTGTTAAGGTGTACATGAATTAAGTCAGCATTTTAAAGACATTTCTTCCCAAGTACAAGAATAGGCATCTTTCAATTCCATCTTATTTTATATTACTTAATCAGTCTTTTGAGTAGGCAAAAATTTATTCTCAGGGTCAGCCATACACTTTATTAACCAGTACTTGATCATCTTTTTCTGTATATAACGAATACGTTTTTACACACTAACATGAGCATTAACAGGTGATAGTTGCCATGGATATAATGGAATTATGGCTGGACTTTCTTTTGAAAGAAAACTTGATTTATTTTTGTGTGTATGATTTTTTTCCCCCTGATTAGTCATGCAGTTCATTTTGGAATTCAGGTACATGATGCTTGAGCAAATAGTGCATTCAGTAATTCCAGTGTGACTGTATGACGTGGTACAGACATTACAGGTGTCACATGTGGGCAAATGCACTTGTCTGGCATGCAGAGATGAAATCAGACCTGTGAAATGATATTTGGAAAAATTCATGTCTATAGCCCATTAGTCCAGTATTTAAGTTGTTTCATTTCTTCCCTCTAGCTCTGCCCACCTCCCACCTCACGTTAGCTGTAAATTCAGAAGCACTTGCCCAGGCACTTGAGTGACTTCGTATATATATCTGCCCACAGGAATAGAGACAGGCTTTGTATTTCCAGATACAGTGACAAATCCTCTGCCATGCAGCCTGTCCTGCCAAGTGGCAAGCAAGGGTGAGGGCAAGTTTCTGGTGATGTCTTTTCATAGTGTCTAAGTGGAGCATGACAGTTGGCTTCCTTGAGTTTTCATCTTTTGTTTTAACTTCAGGCAAAATCTTTAACCACTCTGGCCTCTGTTTCCTCCACCAACAGGGGAGTAGTGATATTACCTCCCTCACAGAGTTGTTGTGAGGACTATACACTGATTTGAAAAGGGACTGTCCAGAATTGAACCTTGCATGAAATTCCAAGGGCCATTCTACTGAATCTACTGACAGGGTTGGGGCTGTGGTGATTTTTCCTTCCACAACTATTCTTCACAGTGTTGGTGCTAATGAGGCTGAGGGCAGGGTTTGATTCACAGGTAGGCCAGTTAACTCACACAGAGACCTATTTCCTTACCTCTAGCCAGTAACTTCATTTTTTAACAGTTCTGGTGGGTTTTACTGAGCCATCCACACTCACTCATTTCTCTTGAAATTAAGTAAACACCTTTACATCCAAAGCACGTCCTACTGACAGAACAGCGGCATCACCTTTAATCAAATGGCTAATTTTTGTCTCCTCTGTAACTCGAATTAAACTAGTATACATCTTTAAGGTGTTTTCAAGGAAAAAAGCAGCATGTGTTTATGTGAAGTATTATATTTTTCAATAACCCTATAGCAGCTCCATGCAGGGAAAGAACCCTAGAGACTTGCAAGGAAGAGCTGTGCTCTTTTCTGAGTGCACTGGGGAGTGAGGAGTTGGAAGAGGTCAAATGTGTAGTTAGATGGTAGTTTAAAATTGTTCCACTGGCTGTGACTGCTAGGTCTCCTTAGAGCAAGAGTGGAGATTCTCCCTCTTTCCTTCTCCCCCTTCCATTTTGGCTTCCCTTTATTTATTTGTTTGTTTTCTAATTAGGGGCCAAGTCTGTAAAGTTTTGTCAAACTGAGTTCGAAGTTATTTTGTTACTATTTGTGTTTACCAGAGTTGGAAGATAAGGTAGTTTCCATGAAAGTGTGTATGTTTTACACCACGTCTGTAATAAGGCCATCCGTTGGTAACTTGAAAACAGACCAGCTAAATGTCTTATGGATATAAGCCTCTGAATATACAGGGGTCTCTTCATACATTGCATGCAGGTTGTTAGTACCTCACAAGCTACAGAAGTTCAGCCATGAAAATTTGTTGGCAGCGTGATCAGATTTGTGAATAAAACTGCAAGTTTTTTTGTTCTTTTTTAATATTTTCAGAATCCTGATACCTTAAGTACTTTTACACCTCTGTTATTGACTTTTTGTCAGCCTTACCTGGGCCTAGACTGTATCCCTGGAAAACAAAAACTTCAGTCATCAGGATTTTTCTTTTAGGGTTAGGATTACCACACTGCCTGTGATAGAATGTGGCTTCTGTGTCAGTTTATAAGGATTCTGTCTAAAAACTCAAGAATAGGATCACACAATTCAGTTGAAGTTCTTGGTCATGAGATGTTTGCTAGGCATCCACTGTGTGTAAGACACAAGGCCATAATAACACAGAACAATGCTGTCAAGTATTGTTTGAAACATGGCCAAAATGCATTTTATTAGTTTTGCTATTGCGATGGGCTTTAGTGTAAGTTCCTAAAAAAAAAAATTCAAGCAGTGAAAAATAGGATCCCTCAGCATTTTGTAGTTCTTTTTCTAAACTGATAACATAAAATGTCACTTGATAAGTCTGAAAAACACGGTCACACAAGCAGTGCTTTGTGAGTGAGTTTCTTAGCTTTTACAAGGCACCATACCTCTCAAAATTTGGGGTTTTGTTAATAAAACATTTTATAATGTATATTCTACATTAATTACCTTTTCTCCCTTAACTAATTGAGTTATATACTGCACTGTAAGTTGAAGTTTAGCCATCCATTATTTATCTTCTGTACAATGCATTTATATGGTTGGTTAGGTGGGGAATTTTTTGCACAAGATGCAAAATGATTGGATTTTGACTTCCTATTACAGGGAGGGTTTGTTTGTTTGTTATTATAAACATTAATTTCCTATACATTTTTCCAATCCCCATACAAACTATTCCTGTTTACACACATTCTTTGTTGTATCTGTACTTTGATTCTGGTGAGAAGAGAGTTTACTTAAAACTTGAGAGGGCCACTGAGCATTGCCTATTGTTTTTGCTTCTCAAATTTGTATAGTACACTGGTTTGTAATCATTGTGTCTTTGTAAAGTCCAAGTTTGTTTGCTATCTTTCTTCTTCCTCAAGGATATATATTGTCTTTATATACTTAAGAAAAAAGATCTTCATTATCCTCATTTTCTTTGAATTGGAAACACAGAAAAATGAAGGACTCCAACTAGAAGATAGACATTTACATTTAAATATCAATAGATTAGCAGGAAAGAGTTTAAACATTTCCAGTATTAGTTTTTGTTTTAAGATTCATTTAAGAGACTGCTCCTTGTACTGGGAGATACTAGTATACATTTGTAATATTATCTTAAAGTTATCTTTTACTTTTTATAGGACCCATAAATACTAGTTAAGATCTTTCAGAAGTCAGGCTTCTGTCATGAACGGTTTCACTGCCATCAGCCAGGCTGATATATTATAAATGGCATCCCTACCTACTTATTTTAATTCTTATAATTTTATATCAAATGCTTTATTTAGAAAAACTATATAATACAGTGGCATAAGCTTTGCCATGTACCACTTTCACTTGAAATTTGATACCAGTTAAAGAGGTTTGGGGTGAGAAAGAGGTATTGGAAAGCAGAGAGATAGGATCTCTTTCCTTTTTTGCAACAGTATCTTTAATGTGGGAGAAGTTACCATTCAGTAGAAGGCAGCTTAAATGGATAACGTTTTATGTATCATTCAGAATTTTCCTTATGACATGTAAAAAAATTTGTATAATTGTTAAATGCCCAGTTTTGCTCTATATTTGCCTGAAGTTTTAATGTTTGTTTTCTAGATGGACTTCTAAAAACCAAACCAGTACTTGGGGAGGTTAAGATGTGTATGATTTCAGGCTTGGTGTGTATGAGTGGTTTTGCTTGCTTTTTGGTTGTATTTTCTTCCAGAGGTTTTGAACTTTAATCAATAATTATGTTGTGTTATTTTTTTCTTTTTAAGTGGCTTTTTTTTTTTCTCAAGTAAAATTGTGAACACATTTGCTTTTCAAGGGCAGGGCATGAGTTATGGATACTAAAAAGTATTGTAGATTGTACTATGTGCCTTCTTAATGTGTTTCTGCACACAATTTTTTTTCATCAACTTGAAAATTCAAAAGGGACATTTGGTTAGGGTATATTACTGTACATCAATCTATGCATAAATGGCAGCTTGTTTTCTTGAGCCACTATCAATTTTTTTTCCTGTTTTTATAGAAATTTTTTATACTGATTGGTTCATAGATGGTCAGTTTTATACATAGACTGAACAATACAGCACTTTGCCAAAAATAAGTGTAGCATTGCTTAAATATTGTGTATTAACATCAGTTTGTTGTAATTGGGTTGGTTGAGTGGTGCATATTGCACCACCTGGAGTTACGGTTTTTAATCTGTCAATAAATAAAATGTCCTTTAACTTCACACTTGTCTGATTCTTTTATTTCATCTTTATGGTCATTAATCTTAAAAGAGAATACAACAGAATTTAAAAACTTACTGTTTAGTTTTGCTTATCCAAAAAATGTTTAAAGTGTACTTTAAATACCTTTTCAAAAGAGTATAAATTAGTATATTAAGATTTGGAATTTAAGGATAATCTCTAAACAGTACCATTCCTTCCAACCAGTCTGTTAAAATACAAATGTAGAGGCATAATGGCTACATTGCTGGACTCCCACATAGTCGACCATGGGTCAAGTCCTGGACCTGGTGGCTTAAACTCATGCTGGATACGTGTGCATGCGTGCCCAAGATCCCGAGAGGAGAATGGAGGAGAAGGGATTGTGGCGTGGCCATCCCCAGGGGGATGACTTCTCATTTCTGTCTCTGTGTCTCTCTTTCCGGTAAGCGCACGTGCAGTATAGCAAAAACCTCTCAAAAAATTTTTTTAAATAGCAAATATATAATCTAGGGACCAGCATATGGCTTAATGGTTACATCGATGTACTCCCACATAATTGACAGCAGTTCGAGTCCTGGACCCGGGGGCTTAAAACTTATGCTGGGTGCACATGCATGAGTGCCCAAAATCTCAAGAGGAGAATGGAGGAGAAGGGATTGGGGCATGGTCATCCCCTCTGGGGGGAGGAGGTGATTTCTCACTTTCAAAGAGCTATGTTGGTTAATTCTCAATGGGTCTTCTCCAAGATAAATGGAGACACAATCTTTCAGAAACATTGTAGGACACTAAGGCCTTTGATGCCATTACTGTTCCCTATTGTGAAGCTCTAATTAACATGTGATAAACTTAGACAGGAAACACAATAACTCCCATACAAATGAATCCTTGGGGAACATCGGTATTCTAAAACTGTAGCCTACTGAAAACAGATGTTTACTTGAACCTTTCAGCTGAGATGAAAAGACTGGGTATGTGTAAGGATCATCACCCAAAGATGAAAATAAGAGTTTCAACTTGGGATGGAGTAGATTGAAATAATAGTACTGACTTTGGAGTAGGAGGCGAATGGTCACTGCTGAGCAGTGTTTACCAGCCCCACATCCAGGGTGACCAGACTGGCCAAGGACTCCAGCAGCTTGATCATGTCTCAAGGGCAGTGACTACATGGATTCTAAAAGTAAGGAGTCTGTGCCAGCCCCATTGTGCAGCGAATTAAGTGCTGAGCTTTGGGAGCTGGATCCCACATGGCTGACCACAGTGTGAATTCTTGCTGTAGTGGCTTAAAAAACGTGTGCATGCGCGTGTACCCAAAGTCCTAATGGGATGAAGAAATGGAAGAATAAGGATCGCTGTGTGATCACATCCCACTGAGGGCTGCTGCTATAGCAATTCAAGAAAAAATAAATTAAGCGGGGTCAAAAGTGAGAGTGGCTTGTGGGATGAACACATCAAGGTTTCCATTTCATATGCGGCCTAGATTATCTTGCTCCTTTGCCTTGGACAGCTCACAAGATTATTCATTGTGGCATTGACCGCCGTGAATGCAAAATACTAGAAACCAAAATGATTATACGTAGGGGAATATGAATGGAAATGTGGCACAGGCACACAGTGGAGGTCTATGCAGCTTTTTAAATAAATGAGGAAGAGCTCTATAAAGTGATTTTAAAATGATTTCTGAAACATACTCAGGTGAAGAAAACAAATTGCAAAGAATATCTATAGTAAGTTACACTACCTGTAGGAAAGAAGAGAATATAAGAAAACACATATATTTACTCATTTGTGCAAAATAAATTTAAAAGAATAAACTGGAAATGAAAGTGACTGGTTACCTACAAAGAATGCATGCAAAAGGTTGGAAAGAAGAGAGAAATTGGAACAGGTTGCTGGGGATGAAGAGGAAGCACCATTTTTCTGAGTATCCCTTTGTATATAGTTTTGGCTTTTTAAAAATTCTTATTTATTTATTTATTTATTTTAGAGATTTTTGCTATAGGGCACGTGCACTCACTGAAGAGATGGGGAGACAGAAAGCAATAAATCATCCTCCATGTGGGGAAGGCCAGGCCTCAATCCCCTCTCCATCCTCTTCTCAGGATCCTGGGCACACATGTGCCTAGCATGAGTTTTAAGCCGCTAGGTCCAGGACTTGAACCATGGTTGACTACTTGGGAGTCCAGCAACATAACCATTATGCTATCTGCTGGTTTCTCCAGTGTGAGTCTTAAGCTGCCAGGTCTGGGACTTGAACTATAGTCAACTACATAGGAGTCCAGCGATGTAACCATTACACCATTTTCTGGTCCCTAGCTTTGGCCTTTAGAATCATAGTAATTCTTACAACAGAGAGGGACAGAGAGGGAGAAAGCACCCCAAATGGGGTGGTCAGCATTTCCTAAACACCTCTGAAAGGTAAACCACCAGGAATGGATTGATGAGTGAAGAATGCAGGAGACCCTGTGAAGAAAGCATCAATTTGTATGATTGGAATGGAGGTGCAGGGCAGAGAAGGAAGGAAGCACAGATAGGGGATTTCAGTTTGGGCAAATCTGGGGATCCAAACAGAAACACCTTGTCTGTGTACCTCCATGTGGGGTGCTCTTTAACTCTAAATCACAGGAATACAGTTATCCTTGCCCAACACATTTGACAAATAGACTCAAGAGTTGTCATAGCAATATAGAAATCAACGAAATTATATTTTATACAGCTATCCCATAGGCAAAAATACCCTTTTAAGAAGTCTGTAAAGGTGAAGTTCATAAATGACTAGATATTACAGAAGTAGCCAGACTCTGGGTGTGATAAACCAAGCCTCTAAGATAAAAGTAGTCTTCGCTAGGGCTTCCCTTACTTCTCTGCCAGTCTCCCAAGGCTTGCCCAGCAGTATCACCTCTGGAGACCTCAAGAGGTACAGGCTCCTCTGCTTGAAAACAAGCTTGGGCCCCAAGTGACACAAAGAGCACTTCGGTGGTCAGAGCAGTGTTTCCCTTAGAAGCTGGTTTTGTGCCTTTAATGAGTCTGGACTGTTTATGGCACTGATGAGGAAGGTCGATTCTTTTTTTTTTTTTTCTTGGAGAGGTTTTTGCTATAGGGCGCGTGCACTAGCCAGACAGACAGAGAGAGACAGAGAGATAGAAAGCGAGAAATCACCCCCCAGGGGGGATGGTCACGCCGCAATGCCTTCTCCTCCATTCTCCTCTCAGGATCTTGGGCACGCACGCACACGCGCCCGGCGTGAGTTTAAGCCACCGGGTCCGGGACTCGAACCATGGTCGACTACGTGGGAATCCAGCGACATAGCCATTACGCTAACTGCTAGTCCCAGGAAGGTCCATTCTTGACAAGTCAAGTAGTATTTCTTACTGAAAAAATAAATTAAAAATATCTATCCAAAAATCCACAGCACTCTTGAAAATCTTGGAACTAAAAAACAAAAGAAAGTTTTCCCTATCTCAAAATAGAGCAATTGGAGAATGCCCCAGAGATCTGCAGAAATAACTTGAGGGACTTGGCATAAAGAAGCTTCTATTAATATTCTTCCACCTAAGTAGCAAATGTGATGAAAAGACTGCATTTTACATTCTTGAAGTGAACAAACTTTTTTTAAAAAATGTTTATTTCTTCTATGGTTAAGAGAAAGAGATAAAGGGAGAGAGAGCACCCCTAAGGGTCTCGATACTGTGATCTACCCTCAACCCTCAGCAGCCCAGGATTATATGCAAATGTGCACCCAGCGTACTCAGCAGACTGAGCATCCCCATGTGAAACTGCCTCGCAGAGCACTGCGTTTTACCACTGCACTGTCTGGTCCTTAAAATGATCTCTTGTATACCTTCTCATAAAATTGCATTGGTTACACATTAATTCATTTAGGGTAGGACTTAACAAAGAGTAAGACAATATTAAATGTTTATCCCATTTTTACACAGAATTTGTATATTTCTTTAATATTTTCCAAAATCATAGAGTCTACAGTGCTGATATGCTAAACTTCTCCTGAGACTGAGATTCTTTGTGGCTGAATTTCCTATTTTAAAGCCAGTTTCAGAGAAGGCCATTGCCAATACACATTATTGGGAATTCAACCACCTTGTCAATTACACAAAAACAAACAATTTTAGACCCAAGGGTTTGTGTACTTTACTGCCAATTTTGACAGAACTATTCTCTAACCTTCTCTTTTCTAATTGTTATAATAGGGGATAAACATACTAGTCTGAAAAATGTGGACTTTAGTTGCATTCCAATGCAATGCCTGCGTCCTGGTATGAATTCCAGGCAGCATGTCAGACTACCTGGAGCATGTAAGGCTCATACAAAAAACGTTAGCAAATGCCTCCACAGCTTTATATGAAGATTTTCTGAAGTAGGTAGAAACAAGAGGATTAAAATCATTAGGGGCCTGTAGGAGGGTTATTATTTTTTTTAAAGAAGTATTTTATTTAACTTTATTTATTTATTTTAATTTGACCAGGAAGAGAGAGAGAAAGAGAACGAGGGAAA